GGAGACGGGGATGAGCACCATGCCCTAGAGTCGGACACGACTGGACTAAATGTCAAGGGGAACCTTTACCTTTTTATGAGATGACAGTAATGCAAGCACATTATTTCATGTTCTTTCACCATATTCAACTGAAATCTCTCTGTCATTGAGCAGTTTATAATCCTGATCACCTCCTAGTTTAGAGAACACTGTATTAATCTTATAAATAGATGGCACTTGGCCCCTCGTCAGTCAATTATATCAATAAAGGTTTGAGCCTCATTGGAGAAGTTTGTGGAGTTGGAAACCTGCAACAAGTCATTTCCTCTGGTACATTTATTCTGACCAGCAGTATCTGATAAAATGATAAAGATTTATTGAGCAAGCGATTCTTGCTCAATAAGAGCGTCGTGGCGCAGTGGTTAAACCGCTGTATTGCAGCTAAAACTGTGCTCACGACCTGGGGTTCAAATCCCAGGTAGCCAGCTCAAGGTTGACTCAGCCTTCTATCCTTCCGAGGTCGGTAAAATGAGCACCCAGCTCGCTGGGGGGGCAATGTGTAGCCTACATAATTAAATTGTAAACCGCCCAGAGAGTGCTTGAAGCGCTATGGGGCGGTATATAAGCAGCACACTTTGCTTTTCTCTCACACTGGATCTTCTCTCAGTGTCTTTGGATGATACGAATATATAAATAACTAATTGTTTTGTTTTGCTTGTTTAGCTGCCTGTTTAGAAATCCCATGCACTGGACAAAGATATGAAATCTTCAACAAATAGGCAAACAGGTTATAGTCTCTACCCCTGATGGAGAAATAAACATAGGTGATAAGGAATACTAAGAATGCTCATAGCAATAACTTTTATTCAGTATGGTACCCTTCAGTTAAATACTGGAGCAAAAATTTTCAGCCTATCAACCACTGAAATCCAATATTTGTGTATGGAACACCATTTTTAATTTGCATACACATGCTGTAGATAATTAATTTGATTTTCCCCCATGGTTTCAAAATGTTTCAAAACATTAGTCTGTTTTTTTAATTGTTTATTTATTTATTTTAAAAAACCATGCCACCATCACCCTTGGGACCAGATAAACATATATATTCTTAATCTCTTTTCATTCCATTCCACTCCAAAAATACATTGATTCTTCTACTAGCTTATGACCTTTCCCTTTTACAAAAACATAATTCAAATATAGATTCCATTCCTCTTTAAAATCATTGTATTTTGTCACTCCCCTTCTTACTTTTATTTCCTATTAGTTTATCATTTATTGCTAAACTCCACATTTCTTTATACCAATTTTCAAGATTAACGTCATTTTTTTCCAGTTTTTTGCAAATATTAGTCTTTCTACTGTCACCATTATAACTATTAGTTCTTTCTGTTCTTTTTTAAGATGGTCATCCTTGATTAAAAGGGCAATATTTGGTGATATTTGACTATTATATTCAATTATTTCTCTGATTTCTTTGAAAACCAATGTCCATTCTTTTTTATTTCACAAGCCCACCACATATATAAATAACTTCCTTTTTCCTTTTTCCATCTCCAGCATTGTAATGGTACATTTCTATTTATAATATTCAGTCTTACTGGGGTAAGTTACCATCTCAATGCGACCTTATAACAGTTTTCTTTTACCCTTATAGACATAGTCTTCATTATTCTTTGTGACCATATTTTGTTTCAATCCTCACTTTTAACCTCTTCCTCCAAATCCTCTTGCCATTGTTTTTTCATCATAGCTTTTTCGTATCCAACATTAGAATCTTATAAATCACAATTACTGTTCCCTTTCTTTTATTTCCTTTCTCTTGAACTTGTCTTTGCTCTATGGTCTTCTCAAATGTAGTCAGTTTTCTAATTTCTCCTACTTTTCTAGTCCACTCCCTTGTCCAACTTTCCATTTGGAGTATATTTAACCATGAGTATCCCCTCTTCCTCTCCCAAAGTTTCCTTTATAGTATTTTTATCTTTCATCTTTTTCATCCAATCCCTTATTGTATTTAACCCTTTTCTACTAATACTTTTTTTAAATTTAATTTTACGGATTTGGGGGAAGCTCTGAGCCTCCTCTACTTCTTGTAGTAGTGAGATATGTGGACTCAATATATATCTAGTCTCTGTTATTTATAAATAATTTACTTTTTTACCAGCAAAATCTTAATTAGAAACGTGTTTACTTTTTTTTTTTCTTGATCACCTTACTGCCTATCCATCCACAATCTTTTAAATTTGGGTTTCGTTTCCTCTTCACTTGTATATGTTGATTTGCAGTGTTTCTATGAAAGGCTTGGTTCTGATGGACATTCATTCATCTGTCGGATGAATACATAAAACTAACATTGATAGAGCATTGCTAGATGGTTGGATGTATGTACCCTTCTTTTCCAGAAGAGTTTTTCATAGAGGAAATTTTTTAAAATTATTTTTGATTCCGTTACTCAAATCAGTAGCGAGTTCTTTATCAAAACAAAATTATATACTGCACTAAATAGAATACTATAGTGCATAATCACTTCATGCAGATCTCTCAATTTTCTAAGCCACTATTCAAAATATAATTCAAAAAGCAGCTTGCAAGAAATAAAACTCTGTTAAACCACCATGGAAAACTGCAGTTTCAGTAAATCTGTGCTTCCACTCTTACTAAAAATAATCTGAAATTTTTTTTTTCAAGGTCTGTCTGGAAGAAAGAGAGTGGGTTAACTAGAGGTAGAAATTTGTCAGTGAAATAATTTTTAGAAAGCGGTATATAAATCTAAGTGTAACTGTTGTTTTTTTAATGGAACCTGGTTTCAGGCAATTTAGAGATTAATGCCAACACATTGAATAGATCTTGAAAGTGAGCAGCCAACCAGTGCAGTTATGCATATTTTGTGGAATATGGGCCAAAAATGT